CTGAGCAGCAGCAGAGATAGGAAACCTTTTGATCCGGGGGCATGAGTAACAAATCACACAGTGGCGAGGAGGCCATTTTCAGACAAGTTTCAAGAGGCACTGACTTCCCTGCTCCTCTTGTACCTAATTGAAGAATTTGACGTAAATCTTAGGTCAAAACACGCGCACACCTGTTCTGGCCAGAATAAATATAGATCATCTGGCACCAGGGGCTTCAGGATTAAATTTACTGATAAAGGTTTATAAAGTGACACAACTGCAAATGAAATGTTGAAATGGCTAGAGTTGGGGTGCGTGCTTAGACTTTATCAAAATTCTTACAGGAAGGAAGATTAACAAATGGTTATATCACAAGTAGCAGATGGTTAGATTGCTACCCACAAAAGACACCTCTCTACCGTAACTTAGCATTAGTTTTGGCATCTTGACACAAACATTGTTTGCATGGATATATACCCTTTCCCTACTCCAGGACCTTGTATTTAGAGATCCTTGTCCACTTGCAATTGATTTCCAGGAAGCAACAGACCCCCATTCAGTTCTTTATCTTTCTGGTATTGGATGGGTCCCTGGATTTCATCTTTAGCTGCATATCAGAATCATCTGTGATGCTTTTGGGGACTGACTTCAACACTCACCCAATTCATGTGGAATCAGTGTCTCTGGGGACAAAGACCTGGCATCTGTATTTTAAAATCCTTATCAAGATGATTCTGGTGTTTAGGAATTACAGGAAACTGAAAATATATTTTGTGAGGGTTTGTTTGTTTGTTTGTTTTGTTTTGGGGAGAGTTATTTTGCACATTCCAAGATACTTCAGAGGACAACTGCTTTAAAACAACAAAAGACCTGATTTGCAAGACATTTTTTCTAGATTCCAGACAGGAAATGCGAGGTCACCCCAGTTGCCTCCATCACCAAGTCCCACCATCTCAAGGCTTTGGGTAGACTTCCAGGCTCAGTTTAGCAGAGCCTGGGGACTTTACAAGGACTTCTCTGCCCTCAGCCTGGCCAGATCCTTTACACCATCACTGTCCCTTGTGCTATAAAAGCAAAGCATGCATCCCTAGACTTCCCTCCTCATCCAGCTTACCTCTTAGGGATGTTGGAGACCCACCCGCAGGGTGCCCAGATCTCCAGGTTGAAAGAGAAAGTGGAGAGATTGATTGAGGGAGGGAGAGGAGATAACCCTGGAGTGTCTCAATGCTGGGGCTTCAACATTAAAATCAAATAGCCAGAGATTACATTCTGCAGGCAAAAGCCAATTATATGCAAATTTCAGGCAAATCATATGCAAGTAACACATGTGACTCTGCCCTGGCTGGTGCCTACTTCATTGTGTCTCTTTGAAGCAGGCAAGTAGAGATAATTGGTAAAATGAATTCCAGGTGTAGTGGCCACAGGGCAAGAGAGGACATGGTGGATTCTTAACCCCCAGCTGTATGCCAGGAAGTGTGATCTATGTCATTTGCCCCAGTAGCGTTTACTGAGTGGCTGCTGTGTGCCTGGCTTGGTAATGGGGACAGCAAGATAAATGAGAAGCAGTGCACCCCCTTAGGGACTCAGATGCCTCAAGACCCAACAGGTTGACAGAAAGGGTGAACAGGAGCTTGGAAAGGCAACGAGGGTGACGTGAACAGGTGCTACAGAGCAGGTGCAGGCCCTCCTTCTAAATCAGACTGGGCCATCAAGACGCTTCCTGGAGGCAGTGAGCCTGGGCTTCTTTGAAGAACGAATAAGAGCCTGGCATGGTGGTGCACACCTGTAATCCCAGTGGCTCTCAAGCCTGAGACAGGAGGATTGTGAGTTCAAATCCAGCCTCAGCAAAAGCGATGTGTTGAACAACTCAGTGAGAACCTATCTCTAAATAAAAAACAAAACAAGGGCTTGGGACTGTGGCTCAGTGGTAGCACCCTTGCCTGCATGTGTGAGGCACTGGGTTTGATTCTCAGCACCACATATAAATAAATAAAATAAAAGATCTATCCACAATTATGAAAAAAATTAAAACAAAACCAAACCATAGGGCTGAGGATGTGGCTCAGTAGTCGAGTGCCCTTGAGTTCAACCCCCACTCCCCACTCCCCCCGCACACACAAAAAAAGAATGAATAAGAGAGTGGACCTTCAGTGAGAAGAAGGAGGCTCAGGGCTTAATAAGTGGATTAATAAGTGGATTATGGTGGCAAGGGGAGGGTATGAGGTGAGAGCCGAGGAGAAGGGGCTGATAAGACTCCAGCTGGATCCTCAGGGCCTTTCAGCACTAAGTCCAGAAGGTGGAGTTTGATCCTGAAAAGTGAGGTGTAGGCCACTGAGGAATGGGATAGTGTGGGGCAGGGGCTGGAGTCGGTCCTGAGGAGGCAAAGCAACCAGACAGAGGGACAGACCAGGCAATGGTGGGAGAGACAAGGGGGTGGACATCATGGGGACCCAAAGTTGTGGAACTCTGGTGACTCAGCGGTGGAGGTGACGGTGACGGAGGCATCCTGGAGGACTAGCAGGGTGGGAGGCACGCAGGTGGGACAGCACTCCTGTTTGGATGCCCCTGGGTGTCCAAGAAGCCACATCCAAGACCCAACATTCTTCACTCTGTCTTAAGGCAGGTTCTCCAGGAGTGAGCGGTTTATATGAAGGCAGAGGTTTTCATATGGGGGAGTGGGACGGGAAGGAGACCCGGCAGATTATAACCTCAAGCAGAGTCACAGGGACGGTGGCCTTGGCCTGATTCCACAGGAGGCGTGGATCTAAGTGACATCTCAAAATGGGTTCCCATTCAAGGACAGGGTACTGAGGTTTCACACTGCCACTCATGTCCATCGAGAGCCTCAGGCTGCCCCCGCTGGGAGGGAGAAGGAAAGCAGCAGGCACTTTCAGGGCTCATTGCATGACGACAAAGACTCGTGGTTTGAAAGTGGTTCTCCCCAAAAGAGCAGAAGCAAAAGCCCATGAGTGGTGGAGAGGGCTACAGAGACACAGCCATCTGGAGGCATCTGTGCCGACTACATGATGTCCTCAGCCCTCCAGACTGATCTGCATAGTGGGGGCACCCATGTTTTGCAGACAAGGGCATGAAGTTCAGAGGGGTTAGATAGCTTTCCCACAGTCACACCGCTAGAGTGGTGGTGATGCTTGGAACCCAGGGCTTATGGATTTTCGCTCAGCCCAATGCATCACACAGAAGTCAGTAAACATACAAATCGTCTAGAGTCTGGTCAAACCAATCCTATCTACTGTTTTAAGCAACCCTGTGAGCTATTTCCATTCCCAATTTGTAGGCAAAGAAGCAGAGTCTCCTGGTCAGAGACACAGGTTAGTAGACCGAGGACCTGAGACTTGAGTCCAAGCCCATCTGGCTCCTAGTCCTATCCACAGACCATCATCTATAGCCCTGGGTCTCCCAGGTGGGGCCACCATTCCATGTACTGCCCATATTATGCTGAAAAAAAAAATGTGTGGAGCAAGGTCAGGAGAGGTGTTTTAGATTTGTTGAAGGTCTGTTAATGTCCTTTGGCAAGAAGATGGAAAGACCCAGAGACAGCTCTGTTGTGCAGACCGCCTTGGCCTCCACCCCAGCTTCAATCCACAGAGAGAGGGCTGGGTGCTGTCAGCTCTGGTGCTCAAGGTTCCCGAAAGGGTAATTTGGCAAACAATGCGAAGAAGCTGGTTGTGGTAATAAATTACCATGTGAAATGGAATTATTTTTATCACTCTCTGTGTTCTGGGGCCCTGAAGAATGCAGCAAACAAAGGCAGGTTGAGTAGGATAATCTGTCTTTGTTGGCCAAGGGCGGAGGCACAGATGGAATGGTGTATGTAATGTTTGTGCATGCGTGTGCATGCGTGTGCACGCGCGTGTGTGTGTGTGTGTGTGTGTGTGTGTCTCAATCCCTGCCTGCTCCTCAGCTGGATGGTACGCATCTATGTGGGCAAAAGGCCCATGCACTTGAGGAGGTCTCACAGGGGTTTTAGATGCCACATTTTCTCTGGAGAAACACCTGTCAGGGTGCAGCAGGAGGAATTGACATCAGGGAGACAGTGAGAGCATCAGAGGATGTCCTAAGAGCCCATAGTTAGTCTGGATCCGAGAGAAATCTGCTGGGGAGTCTGAGTTTCAAATTCTTCTCTCATGGATGACCAGGAAGGCCCTATCATAGAAGCATACCCTTGTTTGAGGAGAACAAATTGCAGAGCACTTCAACTTACGTAGCTGATGCGATTTTCAAGCTTTCGACTGCAGCTCTCATTCTCAGAACCGAGCCTGCCTGTGCTAACGGCACCCAGATAAAGAGAACAGAACATGACCACCTCACCCCTACCTTCAGAAACCCCTCCTATCTCCTTCCAGTGGCTCCCCACCAGGGTTACCCTCTCCTGACTTGTGACAGCATAGAATGGCTTTGTTTGCTTTTGTGCATCATAGAAAAGAAATCATACAGATGCATTTTGAAAGAATGATTGTAGGCTGAGTCCTGTGAAGCCAATGTGAGGTCTGCAATACTTAAAGCAATCTTGGTGATTGGATTACTGTACCTGAATCCAACCCTTGGGAGTACTAAGATGTCTTAATACTGAGCGCATCTTTCAGGACTGGGCATTCATTTGAACAACATGTGGCTGGCAAAGCCCTCGGGAGGAATCACCAGCACAGGGCTATCTTGAATTTCTTTTTTGCCTGAGGTCACTGGTTCACATCCATAGATGCACATTGGAACCCCGCTCCCCCGGGAGATTTAGAAAATACTGATGCAGGACCCTAGGGGCCCCAAGGGTTTGACTTTAGATCATTTTGTCCTTCTGTGTTCTAAGAGTTGACCTATAGGGTTTGGTAATCTGGGTAGAGAGGGTTCAGGATTAAAACGGCCTGCTGATGCTCAGATGAGGGAAAAATCAAGTAGTACACCTGCTGCCACAATGCCAAGTCAAGCCAGACCCAGGGCTCACGTCCCTCCTCCCCAGCTCCTCTATGACAGCCCAAGGCTCACTGGACTGGAGATTGTTCTGGTGGATGATGGGAGTAGGCTGAGGAAGAAAAAGGTAAAAGCTAGAGAAAATTGTGTGGTTGTGGGAAAATTGTTCAATATTTCTAAGTATTGGTTTTTTTTTAATCTATAAAGTGGGGAATAATAATAATACCAGTAATAAGACCAAACCCATAGGATTTCTGGGAATAGAAATTAGGTAAAGTTCTTAAGCCATTGAGCATAGTAGTAGGCACATGGTAAGTGCTCAGTAGAACAACATCGTTACTAGCCAGCGTTACAAACTGCTGCAGATGGTGTTGTGCCTTTTATAGCCCTCAATTAAAATGTGCCCATTTGAACATGGCCAGAGAAGCAGTAAGTGACATCCCTCAATATTCTTTGAGACAGATGGACCTCTGTTTTCTGTAAACTGCTCAAGGATCTTCAGGGGCCATAGTGATAGAAAATAATTTCTGGGCAGTGTAACTGCAAACTATGCCTATGCCTGCTTCAAAGCACAGGTGAAAAGAGAAATGTTGGTGGCCCCTTGCTGGCCCACCCCAAACCCGCAAATTGGAGGGGAGGAATAGTTCTCATGAAAAATAACAATTCTCTTCCATCAACACAGAGAAAGGTAATGAATTCCAGCAGAACTCAAGGTTTTGTAGAATTGTGAAACAAAGAAGAAAAACTTCTCAATAACTGAAAATTTGAGTAACAGCTCCAATGTCTTCTTGGATTTGGATGAAACCAGGGTAAGTGGATCAAGAGCAGAAATGTCTATAGGGAAGGCAAGGTCACCCACTCACTCTTTGGGCTAGTATCCAAGGTTAGCTGGATGATGTTACAAACCATTTCCTTTGGGCCTGTCACCGTCAATCACATAGCTTTTCTATTTCACAGAACTTCCAAAGACCATTTAGTTCTTTCACTTTCAATTCATAATCACCCTGTATGTAAAATCCTTGGTAGTATGGGTGTCATTTAACAGATATATTGTAGACCAGATCTTCACTTCTTCCTTTTAAAGAAAAACCTCAGTTTTGTTTCCATATATGTCTCTTTCTGCCTCTGGTGGCTCAGAGAGGGGACTTATCTGCAGCTTCAAGGGTAGATCCTGACTTGATCACCTCAATCCTTCCCCAGTGATTGGTTGAAGAATGGACCTGTGACTCAATTTTGTCCAATGGAATACGAGAGGAAGTCTGCTGGATGCCTCTAACAGTTTTCTGTGTTTCTAAGAGAGTCAGTCTGGAAAATTCTGAGTCTGGCTTTGGCTCTTGGAACTGCTATTATAATCTTGCTACTAAACAGATAACACAACCAATTGAGATATCAGAGTGGAGCAATGGAAAGAACCTGGGTCCGGAGTAACACTGTTGAGCTGCAAAGCATACTGAATGCTGCCCAACCTCTAGACGCCCCAGCTGTGTGAACGAATGTTTTTCAGGATTGCTTGGAATTTTCTGTTGCTTAAAACCTAAAGCAGTGCATTATGGGTATTCTAGGACTCACAGGTTAAGTGAATGCTCATGGTCACTAGATGGAAAGTGGAGGAGAGCAGAGGGAAACCCATGTTTGCCCACCCGCTGTTCAGCTCTCAGTGTTCCTCCATCCCAAAGTGACAATTTTCCCTTTCTGAAATCAACCGCAGGATTTACTATCATGGAATGGAATGCCATGTGTCTCATTCTTTCTCAAGCCCGTTGCGGCCTGTGGTGCAGACAGAGCTTTCAGGTCCTCACAGAAACCAAGCACAAGTCCCACGTTTGGAGAGATACTGAGGTCCTGGCTTCCCCTCAGATTTCTGGTCTCTGTGATCTCTCTCCCTCTGCCGTCTTTGCTGGAACATCTGTCCCACCCCTTTTCTCAGCCCAAGAGTCCCACCTTCCAATTTCTGCTTCCTCCAACTCATGCAGAATCAGCCCGTCTGTGCTTGTGACATCCATGCAGCATCTTGGTGCATTGATTTCTTCTGCAAGATGATTATTGCAAGGTGATTTTACTCAGCTGTTGTATCAGGATGCTCCCCTTCATTCACAGAATACTTAAATCATTAAAGAATGTTTCCTCACTACTAAGTCCAGAGGTTGGTAATTCCAGAGCCAGTTCAGCCATTCTGTCCGCATCAAGGACTCTGGTCCTTTCCTGCCTTGAACATTCCTTGCCATGCTGTGTACACAGGCTGTGTACTCGTCATTTAAAGGTGGTTTCCTTTGCCTCAAGCATCATGACATCACACAGTGAGGTCCAGAAGCCAGAAAAGAAAGGGGGAAAAAATCCTCACACCTTTCTCTTGCTTTTATTTTTTCAGAGACGACATCTGTCTCCCAAATTACCCATTAATTTGCCCAAGGTCACCGGGCTGAGGAAATAGTAAAGTACGTATTCAAATGGGGACAGTCCAACTCTAGACTGTCCAATAGAATTATAATGCAAACCACAAAGGAACTTTGAATTTTTGGTATCCACACTTAAAAAGTTAAAAGCAGCAGAAGAAATCGATGTTTTACTTTACTCCATGTAACCAAAAGACTATTTCTACGTATGATTGATATGTTATTAATGAGATATTTTACATTTTTCTATACTAAGTCTTTGAAATCCAGTGTGAATTTACTGCTTGCAGAGTATCTCAATTTGGCCACTAAAATTTCACCGGAAATATGTGATCTATATTTAGATTTCATAACGTCCACGAGAAAACATAAATTCGCATGCCCAGATAATTTCCAACAGGCTCCAACTTTCTCAGTAACGGAATTAAGTAACAGTGTTTTAGTTTACATTTAAGTTAATGAAACTCAAATAAAACTAAATATTCATGTCCAACGTCAAGCTAGCTAGGTTTCAGATGCTCAGAAGTCACATGTGGTTCATGGCTGCTGTGTTGAGCAGTGTGAGGACATTCTGGATACTTAAGCTCATCTTTATGGCACCGTGTTAATATGTGGTGCAGAGTGTACACTACAAGACTACAAGATTCACCTGGCCACAGGTGAATCACCCTAACCTCTCTCTTTTTTTGGGGGGGCACCCAGTAGACCACTAAGCCACATCCCTATTTTGTATTTTATTTAGAGACAGGGTCTCACTGAGTTGCTTAGCCCCTTGCTTTTTTGCTGAGGCTGGCCTTGGACGAGTGATCCTCCTGCCTCAGCCTCCCGAGCTGCTGGGATTACAGTCATGCACCCACCACACCCAGCACCCTAATTTCTCTCAGTCCTCCATTTACTCATCTGTCATGGAATGGAGTTTGATCTAAAACATCTCTTCCAGTTCTCAGATGCTGCCTTCTTTCTCTCTTCTGAAAGAGGAAGAACGAGTTTTATCAAAGTCCTGAGCATACAAGGCATATTAAAATTCTCGTCGGCACTGTGTTTTCCTAGTTGTGACACGCCTTTGGGACACAGCTGGGAATGCAGGGGCCGCAGGCAAGGAGGGATGCTGCAATTTTAGAAGCACTGCTACTCCATTGCTCTGCTTAAATCCACCTGGACTTACATACCTAGATTCTATTGCTGGGTAGCAGATCACCCCCCAAATATGGTGTGTTATGTGACCATTTATTATGACACTCATGGATTCTGTGGGTCAGGAATTGGAGCTGGACTTAGCAAGTACTAATTTCTCCATGCTGTCTTAGAGCCTCACAGGCAGACTCCAAGGCTGGGGTGACCTGGCTGGCAGGAGCTGCCATTGCTGCAGGCCCAGTCAGTCACTCCTGTGTCTGGTGGTTGAGCCCTTAGGGGGGCTGTTGCCAGAACTCCTACAGGTGGCCTCTCCAGGTGGCCAGGCCTCCTCTTAACACTGCATGGGTTCCAGGACCAAGGGTCCCACAAGAGAAAGTCAGGCAGAGGTCATTTCTAACCCTGCCTCCGTGATCAGACGTGTCATTTTCACCCCATTCTCTTTTACCAGGTCATCTGAAAAGACTTCTCAAGTTCCATATGAGGAGAAAGCAGCTCTACCCCGATGGAGGAATGACAAGGTTCTGCAGGAGCATGTGGACCTCAAAATATTGCCGCAGCCGTGTTGGTAAATGCAATCGGCCACTTACCTCCTCTGCAGTCCCCTGAAATGTCTGCTCTTGGAAAAAAAACGACTGAAGCCAGTGTCTCCCTGGTCACTTTGTGCCATGCTAAAGGAGCTGGGTTGGAGGAGCACAATTCTTCCCCTGCCCTATAGATTGACCATGACTTGTCACAGCAAGGGAGAGACCCATGTGCATTAGCACATGCCATGGGAGGGTCTGTGGGGCAAAGGGTGGGGGACCAAATATTAGGGACAAGACTTAACTGGAATCCTACATTATCTCCAAGAGGATGAGAAACCTCAAAAACTTTCATCCCAGTTCTGGTATTCTAAGACTTTGGTCAACACTGGAATGATAATGATGAGGAGAGAAAGGAGAGGAAGTTTCTCAGAGAGGAAAGGTAGAACCTATATGAAAGTAGAGGCTGCATCACATTAAGACCTGCAGGAGAGAAGCAGCTTTGGGGACAGAGCTCTCTAATAGAGCACCATTGGTCATTGACTGGGTGAGGAGCAGTTCTGAATTTTAGCCAGCATTCACTTCCCTGAGTTATGCTGCTGATGCTAAGACGTTCCCAGGAACCCAGAAATCCCTCAAAATAGTTCAGGTCCAGATTATGGGCCTTTATATTTCATTCCAGAGCTAGCTCCCTAGGACATTAAACTAGCAAAGCCATCAGCAAAAGTAAGGCATCCTAGTGTTTTCTGGGCAAGTTTTCCTCTTGGCAGTTAAGTCAGAGGAGCTTTAATGGAGATAAGTGTTCTGTGTCTTGCTCTGTGACTCTGGAAAATTGGAGAGGAGCTCCACAGGTATAACATCTGGATCCTGGGCTTCTGTAAAAGACACGGCAGGGCTGACAGCACAACCTGGAACTTCTGTTTTCTGAGAACTCCCTCCTCCAACAGGGAGGCAGCATATTTGTGCCAACTGAGGTGCGACTCGAGTAGCCACGGTAGGTTGGACCAGAAGCTACAGGATTCACACTCCCTCTCAAGGAGGGATTAGGATGCTCAGTCTCTGCTATTTTCTGTGCCAAGGATGATAAGCCAAACACCTGGGTAGCTGGGCTGCCATAGTGCCCAGTTCCAGAACATCTCCAAGACCATCTCTGACAGTTTTGTGGACCAGGAATTGGGAGAGCAGCTGGTCGGATGGTTCTGGCTCTGTGTCTTTCATGAGATTCCAGACAGGGATCAGCCAGGACTGAGGCCATCCGAAGGCTTTGGTCATAGGTACAACTTGGTAATGGATATTGGTCGGGAGGTCTCCATGCCTCTCCACTTGGTTGCTGGAGTATCCCCACCACCCAGCGTGTTTGGCTTCCCCAGAGCAAGGGATCCCAGAGACCAAAGAGCTTTTATGACCTCGCCTCAAAAATCACACCCATCATGCAGGTGTGAGTAGCAGGAGTGGGGCTCCCATTTGAGAGGCTGGCTACCATAGCTCCTTACATTTGCACATATCCCACGATTTATAAGGATCCTTGATATATACCCATCTCCTCCAGATACTCAGAACAGCCCTGGCCCCTGCTTGTCTGTCTTCAGTCCTTCTATTTCTATCTACCTACTGTGCCTCCTAGGCCCAGCTCCTCAGTCTTCTAATTTCCTTACACACTCTGTATTTTCTCATACAGAGGTTCCCCTTCCATAAATGCTCTTCCTACTCTAGAAGGCTCTTCTACTATCTCTTTGCCCAATTAATCCTTTCTCTTCTTTGGAGCTCTGCTTTAGACACCATGGTCTTGGTCTTTGGTCATGAGATTGCCATAGAGCCCTTCCTAACCCTCCATGTCTGGTTTAAATGTCCTTCCTCTGGCTCCCCGACTTCCCTCATGGGTATTACTCAAAGATTCTAATATCTACTTCCTTGACCAGAATGCCAGTGCCAGAGGTGGTCTCAGTACCACCCCCAGCCTCTGACACAGGGCTTGATATGTTTGTCAGTTGACTGTATTAATGCGCTAGGTGAGCATCATTATTCCTATTATACAGAGGCAGAGGACAATAACATTCAGTCTGAGTCATGGTCAGTGTATGACAGAGCTGAGTCTAAGCCCAGATCACACCAACCCCCAGCACCCCCGAGGATCCCAGAAACACGTCGCCAAGCAAATTTGCTGCAAAACCATTACTGCTTTGATCTTTGGTACCCTGACAGCTGTGTCCCCAATCTTTCCAGCTTGGACTTGCCAGATTTCTGGGCCCATGGCAGAAGAAACCTGGTTATTAGCCTTTTTAAATTCATTTGCCTGTGAACCTCCCAAGGGGAGAACATGTACATGTTTTGTTGAGACACAGAGACCCAAGCTCTATTCCCATCTTTAAGACTCCTCCAAAACCTAAATATTGCTCTTCATTCAGAAACAATGCCTAGGTATTAGGGGACAGTGGCAGGAGGATGTGGGGACAACAGGCTGCCATGAGAAGACGGGAAGATGGCAGTTCCGTCTGTTGCCAGCCCTTTTTTGTATCCCACTTAGAGCCATGACAAATAGTTTTCTTTTTGTCATCTGTGAAATTACTTCACTCAGGGAAAAGGAAAAAAAAAAAAAAAAGACAACTAGAACAAACCTGACAGCCAGACAATGGGATCACCCTATGGCCTTAGCTTTAGTGGCTGCTTTTAATGGGTGTTGAACCCATACATGGAACCCACAGACTTCCCAGAGTGGACACTTCCAGATGCGTGTCTCTAAGCCAGGGGGAGCTGGGAAGGGAGGCAGGGCTGGATCAACCAGAGCTGGGCCTGAGAGACAGTAACCAAGCAACAGGCCCAACTTGCTCTGAAGGGCAGGGCGGCCAGGAGCTTGGGGTGGGATGGCAGTCAGAAGGCAAGACAGTGGCCATCGAAGCAGGGAAAGAGAGAGGTCCCTGCTCAGGGAGCTGAAAGGTCCAGCAATACAAGAGGAAAGTGCACCTGGTTATTAGAGATGAGCAATGCAGACAGTCAGGCACGGGGCTTTATGAATTTAACAGCAACCAAATGATATGGAAGCCAGATCCCTCTCTACAGAGGAGCTTCCCAGACACTTCCTTTTAAGGATAAAGTTATTTTAATGCTCAATAAATAACACATGAGAACGCTTAACAAAAGAAACTGTCCATGTGGCTTCTAAACATATGAGGCAGCCCTCAATTTTTTTAGTCACCGGAGAAATAAAAAATTAAAATACCATTTCATGCTACTGGGATGGCTAAAATCAGAACAACGCTGGGGTTGGTGAACATGTGGAACGATTGCTGGTGGGAATGCAAGATGGTGCAACCACTTGAGGAAACGGTTGAACAGTTTCTCATGAAATCAAACATACGTACAGCTTCCTCATGATCCATTAATTCCATTCTTAGATCTCCACTCAACAGAGGCGGAAGCACAGGCCCACGAAGTGATTTGTATATGAATGTTCATGAGCAACTTTATTCAGATTAGTCCTGAGCTGAGAACAATCCACATGTCCATACAGGAAAATGGCTAAGTCATTTTTCCACGAGTGAAATATACTCTGCAATGTATCATGAACTAATAGCATATGCAAACGGATGAATGAATTTCACAGACACTAGGCTGAGTCTAGGAAACCAGATCACAGGAATCCCTATTCACTTTGATGCCGTCCAAGAATAATCAAACATTAATCCATGATGGTTGGAAGATGGTTGGCAGATGAGGACGATGACTAGGAGGTGACATGGCAGAACTTGCCAGGAGGCTGAAAATGTTCTATGCTTCATTTTGGGTGATGGTTCAAGGGTTGTAGATATTTGTCAAAATCCATCAAGCTGAACAACCAAGATCACTGCCCTTTGCTGTGTCCTAATTATGCCTTGATTTAAAAATTAATAAGATGTGGGCACACAGGAGTCTCTAGGTCTGCAATGGCAAAAACAAAGCTCACATACAGCTCCTTCCACTTCTGCTCTTGTGGCACACTGTGAACTGATTTCAACATTCTGTGCCCCTGAGCTTCAGTGAGACTTAAAATACATCACAATGTAAGCCTGGCACAGTGGCACACGCCTATCATCTCAGCAACTCAGGAGGCCGTGGTAGGAGGATCCCAAGTTTCAGGCAAGCCTCAGTGACTTAGTGAGACCCTGTCTTGAAATACAAAATGGAAAGTGCTAGGGATGTGGCTCAGTGGTGAAGTTCCCCTGGGTTCAATCCCCAGCGCCAAAACAAAACCAAACCAGTGTAGCTTTCTAAGCAACCCTATCAATTCACAGATCTGTTTGGAGTCAAAGCCAATGAGACTTACTATAGCTACTCTGACCTTCAACCTGTTTCTCTGGTTTGGTGAGGCCTGGGGGAGTTCAAGGTATCCATTAAAAAAAAATCCATTACAGAAAATTTTTTCAATAATTCAAAATCCTGTTCCACAATTACTACCTCTAAAACCATTTAAATGTGCCTTCCTTCTTTTATGTTGTCATAGGCATAATTTAACATAGTGTGGGTCCTGATTTCACTACTCTTAAGTATTTTTCTGAATTACTTATTAGTTTTCTTATTTCTTCTTTATTTTAATGGTGGTATAATTCTCTGAGCAGCCATACTATCAAAAACCGACTCTTCCCTGTGATTTCAACTACTCCTGCTTCTATTTCATTTATACATTTTTGGGGGCTGGTTTTGGGTTATGCGCTATGGTTAACCTTCATTGAGCACCTGCATATGTAGGCACTTGATAAATATTTTATTTACTCTTTAAAACCACCCTATAGATAGCTACAACTTAGGTCTTACAGATAGGGAGACTCTTCCTTATGGTGGCTTGCTTAGGTGGGACATTTTATGATATTATATTGTGAGTTCATAAGGGATGAGACTTTCCCTGAGGGAACTTTACGAGGCCTGGGCTGAGGATACATGCTTGACTGGCAGGAGTTTTGGGAACTGCAGACCTAGATTCCTTTTCTATTTTGTGGGGGGTATCAGAGTTTGAACTCAGGGACATTGGACCACTGAGCCACATCCCCAGCCCTATTTTGTATTTTATTTAGAGACAGGGTCTCACTGAGTTGCTCAGTGCCTTGCCTTTGCTGAGGCTGGCTTTGAAATCACAATCC